CCAGGGTGACCAGACAGGTGGTGGTGAGGTGCAAGGACCAACATTAAAGTCAGTAATCTAGGTTTGAGTGGGCTCTGGCACGTCCCTGTGCCTGCTGTATCACCCTGGGTGAGTTGATTAACCTCTCTGAACTTTCATTTTTCCACCTGTAAAATAGGGATCATCTGTAATTCACACAGTTTTCATGAGATTTCAGGTGCCAAACACAGGGATAAGTGCTTAATAAATGTTTATTTTGAGGCAGTGTCTTACTCTGTCTCTCTGTCACCCAGGCTGTAGTGCAGTGTCGCCATCTCGGCTCACCTCCCTGGTTCAAGGGATTCTCCTGCCTCAGCCTCCCAAGTAGTGGGGCTACTGGAGTGTGTCACCACACCCAGCTAATTTTTGTAATTTTAGTAGAGATGAGATTTCACCGTTGTGGCCAGGCTGGTCTGAAACTCCTGGCCTCAAGCGATTGCACCACCGTGGCTTCCCAAAGTGCTGGGATGATAGGCGTGAGCCACTGCTCCCAGCCTAGTGCTTACTTAATAAATGTTAACAAAAAACAACCCACCCCGAAAAGGGAAAGAGGACAAAAACAAGGCAAGGGTGTTTCAGCAGAGGCAAACATCACAAGCAAAAGCTTGCAGGTGGGAGAAGCCAAGGCCAATGGCTGAAGTCCTTGCCAGCTGGCAGGGACTCTGCCCTGTAAGTGGGGGATGAGTCCAGAGGTAGGCAGGGACCAGGCCACAGTGAACTTGTGGGTGTTATTAATCCTGAGTGTGTGACGGGGCAGGAGAGAGTGTAGTATCCCAGGCAGATCTGAGGCCCCAGCTCTCTCTCTCTCTCTCAGCCTCAGCCTGCCACTCTGCAGTGGTTACCCTCTGACGTGATCGGGGTTTGTAAATCTGTATATTCCTCTGTGAATTTCTTTGCTGCCCTCTCACCCCCGGGTCTGGGTGCTCTGTGAGCAGTACCTTGTCTTCTGTTCTCCACAGTGACCCCAGCATCTAGCCCAGGGTCTGGCAGAGATAATTTCTTCCCAATGAGTAAGTGAATGAAGGACATCGTTTCCCTGTGGGAAGGTGGGGGTTAAGGCAGAGTTCCTCAGTCTGCTCCTACCCCAGCCCCTCCTTCCCTCCACACGCACCTGCAGATCTGCCCACATGAGTGTGCACCAGCCCACTTACTGGTTCCCCTGCCCCCTTTGTTTTCTCTTCTCTCCAACAATGGCTGTGTTTCTGTTGTTCCTGGAAAGAGAGAACGCAGTGCCTTCGTGAGCACCAAAAGGCCAACGGCAGTTCCCTCTCCAGCTGTGTGATGAAGATCCCTTTGATTTTTCCCTTTACACTTTCTTCTAGTTCCTTCTATAAATATTTGTGGTTTTTCAAATAAAAAGCCACAAAGGAGGTGAGTGGGCTGTAAAAGAAACAAAACAGGTCTTTTTTTTTTTTTTTTTTTTTTTTGGAGACAGAGTCTCACTCTGTTGCCCGGGCTGAAGTACAGTGGTGTGATCTGGACTCACTGCAACCTCTGCCTCCCGGGTTTAAGCGATTCTCCTGCCTCAGCCTCCCTAGTAGCTAGGATTACAGGCACACATCACCACACCTGATTAATTTTGGTATTTTTAGTAGAGATGGGGTTTCACCATGTTGGTCAGGCTGGTCTTGAACTCCTCACCTCATGATCCACCCGCTTCAGCCTCCCAAAGAGCTGGGATGGCAGATGTGAGCCACCGCACCCTGCCAGCTTTTTTTTTTTTTTTGAGATGCAGTCTTGCTGTCCCTCACTTTGGAGTGCAGTGGCGCGATCTTGGCTCACTGCAGCCTCCACCTCCCAGGTTCAAATGATTCTTCTGCGTCAGCCTCCCAAGTAACTGGGATTGCAGGCAGGTGCCACCACACCTAGCTAACTTTTGTATTTTTAGTAGAGACAGGGTTTCACCATGTTGACTGATGTTAAATGTGAGGTGATCTACCGCCTCAGCCTCCCAAAGTACTGTGATTACTTACAGGCATGAGCCACCATGCCCAGCCACAGACGGCTGCTAAACACAAAAAAGTGCTCAGTCTCCTTCACAATAAAATAAATGTAAATGATAACTACTCAGAGAATCCATTTTTCCACCTTACATCTGGCAAGGATCAAAGCTGGCTGTGTTGCTGAAGATGTGAGGAAATCCTGGCTCATGCACTGCTGAAGTGGGAGAAACTTGTACCCCTCTGGGGGACAATGTGACCATGTGTATAAAAATGTCAGCTGGGCGCAGTGGCTCACGCCTGTAATCCCAGCACTTTGGGAGGCCGAGGTGGGTAGATCACCAGGTCAGGAGTTCAAGATCAGCCTGCCCAACAGGATGAAACCCTGTCTCTACTAAAAATGCAAAAATTAGCCAGGCATGCTGATGCACACCTGTAATACCAACTACTCGAGAGGCTGAAGCAGGAGAATTGCTTGAACCTGGGAGGCGGAGGTTGCAGTGAGCCGAGATCGCACCACTGCACTTTGGCCTGGGCGACAGAGTGAGACTCCGTCTCCGGAAAAAAAAAAAAAAAAGTCAAGTGCAGGTCACCTTTGACCCAGCAATTGCACTTCTTGGAATTTGTCCATGAGATATGCCACACAAGGAAGAAATGATGAAGGTAAAATGTTACCCATTGTAGCTTGGGTAAACTGTTATCCATTACTTGTGATAGCACAATACTGGAAACAACCCAAATGTCCATCAGTAGGCAACAGGCTGAGTACACAGTAGTATTTCCACACCATGGAGTACTACACACAGCTTCAAAACAAATTCGCCAACGGAATGGCCCTTATGTAGTGACACAGCCCAGAATAGGGCCCTGGTTTAAAAAGGACATGGTGAAAGTACAAGGCAGGCTTGCCTTGCAGTCTGCTGCTATCTGTGAGTATAAAAGGGAAATCAAAATATATTTGTATTTGCTAGTAAATACCTATCTCTGGAAAGGTGACAAGAAACTGGTAACATTGACTGCTTTGAGGAGGGAAGATTAGGGTGCTGGAATCTGGGCTCCCAGAGAGGGAGGCTTTTTACTGTACACCGTTTTGACCCTTTAACTATTTGTTGTTTTTTGTTTGAGACAGAGTCTTGCTCTTTCACCCAGGCTGGAATGCAGTGATGCAGTCTCGTCTCACTGCAATCTCCGCTTCCCAGGTTCAAGTGATTCTTGTGCCTCAGCCTCCCAAGTAGCTGGGATTACAGGCGTGCATCACCAAGCTTGGCTAATTTTTGCATTTTTAGTAAAGACAGGGTTTCGTCATGTTGCCCGGGTTGGTCTCGAACTCCTGACCTCAAGTGATCCACCCGCCTTGGCCTCCCAAAGTGCTGGGATTGGCCGCGCCCAGCCAGTCTTTGAACTATTTGAATGATATATTATCCAAAAACATATTAGAATTTTAAAAGAAAACATAAGAAAAAGTGTTTTTTTCACCAATGTGGACAAGCTTTCCACCTTACACTGGAGGAGGGAGTCCGGCTCTGGGATCTCATTCTTGGAGGAATGGCTTAGAGCACCTATGCCACCTCTTACAGATGAGTCCACTGAGGCCACCAATAGTAGATCTGGAAAAAATACTTGCCCTACAGAGGACAGAAACTGAGGGATAATATGAGTACTACACAAAGTGCCTTTTGTTAAAAAAATGTTTTAAGCATTTGATTTGTTTATTTAAAAAGATGGGGGTCTCACTACGTCACCCAGGCTGGAGTACAGTAGTGCTATTATAGCTCACTGCAGCCTCGAACTCCTGGGCTCAAATTATTCATCTTGACTGGGTGCAGTAGCTCACGCCTGTAATCCCAGCACTTAGGGAGGGCAAGGCGGGTGATCACCTGAGGTCAGGAGTTTCAGACCAGTCTGCCCAACATGGTGAAACCCCATCTCTACTAAAAATACAAAAATTAGCTGGGGATGGTGGCAGGTGCCTGTATTCCCAGCTACTCGGGAAGCTGAGGCAGGAGAATTGCTTGAACCCAGGAGGCAGATGTTGCAGTGAGCCACGATTGCACCACTGCACTTCACCCTGGGCAACAGAGTGAGACTCTGTCTCAAAAAAAAAAAAAAAAAAAAAAAAAAAAAAAAAAAAAAAAAAAAATCCTCCTGCCTCAGCCTCCAAATAACTGGGACTAGAGATGTGCACCAGCATGCCCAGCAATTTTTGCTTTTTGTAGAGAAGGGGGTTTCGCCATGTTGCCTAGGCTGATCTAGAGCTCTAGGCTTCAAACAGTCTTCCTGCCTCAGTCTCCCAAAGTGCTAGGATTACAGGTGGGAGCCACTGAATGCAGCCCACAAAGGGCTATTATAACTGACAAGAAGAAGCTCATCAGACATTAGAAAAATGGGCCAAGGATGGGTTAGGCAGTTCACTGAAATAAATGCATGGGAAGATGCTCAAGTTCACGGCAGCTGGGGCATGAAAAACACTGAGATGGTTCTCTGCACCCTGTGGTCTGGGGACATCCTGGGAGAGGGGTGCCTCCTTCACACACAGCTGCTGGGATGCCAAGACTACAGCAGCATTGGGGAAAAGGATTGCAAACATCCCTGGAGCCAACCCGACCCCTCCATGCAATCCAACTCACAGAAATTAATCCCTTCGATGTAAACGCATATCCATAGCAGCAAAACACGGAAGGCAGAATGAATGCCTTTCCACAGGCGAATCCAGGATGCTCCCGGGAAGGCCACACGGCCATTAAAGACACCGAATTAGCCGTGTCCCTGGGGAGACAGGGAAGGAGGTGCAGAGGCTAAGGACTCTGGGGCCAGATGTCAAATCTTGGTTTTGTGACTTGAGCCTGTGCTTTTACTCCTTTGGGCCTATATGATAATATTAGTACCTATTTCATGGGTTTGTGATGAAGATTAAATGAGCAACTGTGTCAGAAGTGTTTACAGCAGTGTCTGAATCTGGAGACGTACTAAAAGTGTTTGGCGAAGGGCTGGGTATGGTGGCTTAAGCCTGTAATCCCAGCACTTTGGGAGGCCGAGGCGGGTGGATCACCTGAGGTCAGGAGTTCAAGACCAGCCGGGCCAACATGGCGAAATTCCATCTCTACTAAAAATACAAAAATTAGCCGGGTGTGATGGCACGCACCTGTAGTCCCAGCTACTTGGGAGGTTGAGGCAGGAGAATTGCTTGAACCTGGGAGGCGGAGGTTGCAGTGAGCCAAGATGGCGCCACTGCACTCCAGCCTGGGTGACAGAGCAAGACTCCATCTAAAAAAATAATATTAATAAGTGTTGTCTCCATCTGAAAAAAAAAGTTAAGTAAATGTCTTAGAAAATAATAAGCTTGTCATTGAGTAAGAAAGTTAAGTTGCAGCCAGGCATGGTGACTCATGCCCGTGACCCCAGCACTTTGGTAGGCCCAGGTGAGAGGACTGCTCGAGGGCAGGAGTTTAAGGCTGCAGTGAGCTATGATTGTACCACTGCACTCCAGCTTGAGTTATAGATTAGGACCCTGTCTCTAAAAATAAAAATTTTTGAAAAACTAAGATGCAAAAAACATTGTCACCTGCATTGGCAAGACCCTATAGATGTCTAGGTGTGTCTGGTTTCATGAGCATAGAAAACTGTGGGACATATACTTAGTTGTCAACAGGATTGCCAGAGGAGGAACTGTTTGTGTGTGTATGGGGGGAGGGGGAAGGGAGTAAGCAAAATAAAAATATTTAAAGCCTCATGATTTATTTTTTTCCAAGACAAAGTCTTGCTCTGTCACCCAGGCTGGAGTGTAGTGGTGTGATCTCAGCTCACTGCATCCTCCGCTTCCCAGGTTCAAGCAACTCTCCTGCCTCAGCTTCCCCAGTAGCTGGGATTACAGGCACCTGCTACTACACCCGGCTAATTTTTGTATTTTTAGTCGACATGGTGTTTCACCATCTTGGCCAGGCTGGTCTCGAACTCGTCACCTCATGATCTGCCCACTGTGGACTCCCAAAGTGCTGGCATTACAGATGTGAGCCACTGCGTCCAGTCTCTTGATTATGTTTATGCAGTTATTAAACTATGTGCATGCATATGTATAGAGAAAGTTTCAATGACTAAAAATAAGGAACCCAAGAGAGGGAAGAAATTCTCTATCTCCCACGGGGCCAGGGTCGGGACACTCCAGCAGTGTGTGAAGAGCAGAAGTCCAGCCAGTGACAGACTCTTCCCAAAACATCACTTGCTTATTTCGAAATCAAACAATTTCTCATAAATATTTTCTCCCAACGCTGGGAAGAGGGAGAGGGGAAGGAGGTACGGAAACTCCAACAGTCATGTGAAGGACTGCCTTTTATTAGACTGATTATCCGCAGTGGGTTGTTTGCAGCTTCCTCCTCCCGGGTTCTGGGTCTCAGCTGTCAAAAGGATTTCACCATGCAACTTTCTCATGCTAGCAGGTGGGGCCAAGAAGCTAATAGATGGGAGAAAGCTCTGAAAACTTCAGGACGACAAATAGGTATCCTCCTCACTCACAGAAAAGAAGGATTACTGCCCCACCATCCCCTGGTGGCCCTCGAATCCATTCTCTAAACAGCAGCAGCTGTTTAGAGGTGTCTCAGGTGTCCGCAGTTCTGTCATCCTATCCCTGTTTGGAGCAGAGACTGAGGGCTGCTGACCGGGACCGGCTATTTTGGGACGTGCTGCGGGGTCCTTGGGAGGATGGTGACAAAAGGAGTGCGTGCCCGCTAAGGGAGGGGACGCCCCGGAGCGTGCCACTCATAAACATGGTCCCGAGGCCTGCCCCTCACCAGGATGGTGCACTCGGGAGGCGCGGCTTTTTAGTGGCGCACGAGGGCTGGTCGGGGGAGTTTAGGGCGGTGCTGATAGATGGCAGGTGGGGCGGTGCTGCGCTGATTGGCGCGGGGCGGGGTGAGGCGGCGCTGCGCTGATTGGCGGGCGGCGGGGCGGGGCGTCTCCCGCCCGGGCCTAGCGCGCTGCCTAGGTCGCCGGGGCTATGTCGCGGGCGCGGAACCACCTGCGCGCCGCTCTATTCCTGGCAGCGGCGTCTGCGCGCGGCGTAACGACCCAGGTCGCGGCGCAGCGGGGCTTGAGCGCGTGGCCGGTGCCGCAGGAGCCCAGCATGGAGTACCAGGTATCAGGCGGGCCTGCGGGCCGGGGCGCGACGACACGTGGGCCTGCGCTGAGCCACAGAACATCCGGGCTCCGCTAGCCGAGAGGGTACCGGGAGCCCTGGACTGGGGGACTCGGGAGGCGGAACATCCTGGAGTCTGGGGGTGGGGACAGGGACCAGGAAGTTGGGCCCGGGTCTGGGAATTCGGAGACTCTAGCGACCCCGCCCCGGGTTGGAGAGTGGGAAGGGTCGCTGGAGCTAGGATCCAGAAGCCCAGAGGCTCAGCGGTGGTGCTGGAGTTCCAGTGATCCCGGAGTCTGAACCGGCAGTGGGAGTGGGGAAAGAGGGGAGGGAAGAGACTCAGGAATTCAGGCTTGAAAGATCCAGGAGTATTGATCTGGGGGTGGGGTGTCCAGGATTCAGAAGATTGGGGATCCAAGTGCCTGGAATTGGGGGACAGGCAGGAATCAGGGGTAGTGGAGGGCCCCAGAACCTGGAAAACAGAAAATGTCCGCGGGCGCTGTGTCAAGAGCCAGTTGCCCTAGACCAGAACCTGATGCCAGTCAAACGGGTGGCACTGGTTTGATGAAGGTGGGGCCTCCAGCCAGCCTTGAGGTCCTGAGGGTGGGAGGCACGGAATATGAGGCCTAAGGGGAAGGAAATAGCACCCCCACTCCCACTTCCATTGTGAACCCTCCTGAAGCAGTACCTACCTGCCTTCTTGGCTGAGTGACCCCCGGCACACCCCTCCTCCCTCTCAGTTGCTCTTCTGTGGGTTGGAATGTGGAACCCCAGAGTCATGAAGGTTGGGATGGAGCTTCGGGGAACTCCAGAATTCGAATACCCCAACCTTCTGTAGTTCTGACCCCGCCCTGGCAGGGAGCAATATAGCAATGGACCCCACCGGAGAGAATGAGGGCAAAGGCCCAGGAGTAAAGTCGGGGGAGCCTGGGCAGGAAGGAAGGCTAGCCCGTTAGTCATGCCATCTTCTTTGTGTGGCACTCCCTGGGTGGGGCTGAATTGCCCTAGGCTCCCCTATTTGCCAGAGCTGGAAAGATGCCATACTCTCTGTTGCTTAACCTACAGGCTAAGTAACGGGGCTGGCACGGCAGGGAGGCCTGGTACTGGCCTTGTTGCCCTGGCTTGGCCACTGGTCTGCTGGGTGTCTCTGTGCCTGTGGACCCTGAGTGAGCCTTAACCTGCCACCTGGGCACTGTGGTTGCCAGGATGCCGTGCGCATGCTTAATACCCTGCAGACCAATGCCGGCTACCTGGAGCAGGTGAAGCGCCAGCGGGGTGACCCCCAGACACAGCTGGAAGCCATGGAACTGTACCTGGCACGGAGTGGGCTGCAGGTAAGGTAGAGAGAGCCAGTGACCACCTCCCACCCCCATTAGTGATTCCCGTAGCTGAGGTGGGGACCTTGTCTGTCTGTCCCAGGTGGAGGACTTGGACCGGCTGAACATCATCCACGTCACTGGGACGAAGGGGAAGGTGAGGGGCAGGACCCAGGGGTATGGGGTCTATTAAGTGGCTGGTGGGGTAGAGCCTGCCCAGACAATCCCTTTTCTTTCAAGGGCTCCACTTGTGCCTTCACGGAATGTATCCTCCGAAGCTATGGCCTGAAAACGGGATTCTTTAGGTACTGGGTTGTGGAGGGATGTGGTGTCTCTGTCCCAGTGGACCCTGGGGGGCTATGGAACCAGCCAGTGCTTCAGGACCAGGGTCACCCCCAGGAGGTCAGCTACATGTCTCTCTGCCCAATGTTTATTCATTCAATAAACATACAGTGCACTTGCCATATTGGCCCATGTTTATGGCAACCTTTAATTTTTTTTTTTTTTTTTTTTTTTTTTCACTCTATCGCCCAGACTGGAGTACAATGGCGTGATCTTGGCTCACTGCAACCCCCACCTGCCGGGTTCAAGCAATTCTCCTGCTTTGGTCTTCCGAGTAGCTTGGATTACAGGCGCCCACCACCACACCAGGCTAATTTTTATATTTTTAGTAGAGATGGGGTTTCACTATGTTGGCCAGGCTGTTCTTGAACTCCTGACCTCAAGTGATCCGCCCACCTCGGCCTCCTAAAGTGCTGGGATTACAGGTGTGAGCCACTGTGCCTGGCCTTAATTTTCATAACAAAAAAAAAAATTGGAAAAGGGGCAACAACTTTAATGTATAAACTAACTACGTAGCAGGAGGCCAGGTGTGGTGGCTCACACCTATAATCCCAGCACTCTAGGCGGCTGATGTGGGAGGATCACCTGAGCCCGGGGAAGTCAAGGCTGCAGTTAGCGGTGATCACGCCATTGCACTTCAGCCTGGGCGACAGAGCAAGACACTGTCTTAAAAAAAAAAAAAAAAAAAATTACATGACTGGAATAGTCAGATGGTCAGAGGTCTCTTTAATAACTTAAAGTACAAGTTGGGTGTGTTGGCTCACAACGGTAATCCTAGCACTTTGGGAGGCCAAGGTGGGAGGCTCACTGGAGCTCAGGAGTTTGAGACCAGCCTGGGCAACATAGTGAGACTTCATCTCTATTTAAAAAAAAAAAAAAAGAAAAGAAAAACAAAAACAAAAAAATGCCGGGCGCGGTGGCTCACGCCTGTAATCCCAGCACTTTGGGAGGCCAAGGTGGGTGGATCACCTGAGGTCGGGAGTTCGAGACCAGCCTGACCAACATGGTGAAACCCCGTCTCTACTAAAAATACAAAATTAGCCGGGCGTGGTGGCACATGCCTGTAATCCCAGCTACTACGGAGGCTGAGGCAGGAGAATTGCTTGAACCTGGGAGGCAGAGGTTGCGGTGAGCCGAGATCGTGCCATTGCACTCCAGCCTGGGCAACAAGAGTGAAACTCCGTCTCAAAAAAAAAAAAAAAAAAGTCCTTACATAACTTTAAAATCACATAGAGCTATTTATCAATTAGTACGTCTTTAGAGTAAGGAGAAAATTGCCTTGCAAGGGCTTAAATGATAAGGGTGGCTTGTGCCATCCATGTTAAAGTCTCCCAGGCGGGCTGCAGATAGCCCTTCTGCTCAGCCAGTCTCTGCTGTGGCTTTCCCCAGGAGACAGCGCCCCCTCTTGGTCTCACTTGTCTAGACTTACACAAGAGGATGGCCAGGTAGAACCAGGATCACTCTTCCTGTGTCACGCATGTCTCCTAAGCCCATCACCAAGAACTTCTGAAATCAGCTGCCTAAGGTCATTTCAAGCCAATATGTTTTCCCTAAACAGTTCTTGTTCAAATAAAGAGATGGAGAGGAGGACTTACTACCTGAGTGTCTTTGAGGACTGAAACATAAGGCACTAACCTGTCTTCTAAAATCATTTTTTGGGCCAGGCGCAGTGGCTCATGCCTGTAATCCCAGCACTTTGGGAGGCCAAGGCGGGCAAATCACTTGAGGCCAGGAGTTCAAGACCAGCCTGGCTAACATGGCGTTAACCCTGTCTCTACTAAAAATACAAAAATCAGCAAGGCGTGGTGGTGTGCACCTGTAGTCCCAGCTACTTGGGAGGCTGAGGCATGAGAATCACTTGAACCCGAGAGGTGGAGGTTTCAGTGAGCCAAGATTGTGCCACTGCACTCCAGCCTGGGTGACAGGGCAAGACCCTGTCTCAAAAATAAATAAATAAATAAGTAAAAATAAAAACTACAGTCATTTTGGGGATAAAAACCCTAGCCTTCACCTTGGGCCCATGTGGCCTTGAGGGCCAGCCGAGGGCTGCGGCTTGAACGTTGCTCGTGGGCTTTGTCTCTGAGAGCTGTGAGACAGATGGCATTGTGGGACAGATGTCAGCAGAGTGACTGATTGGTATGGGACCATTGGATGTGTGAGACCAGCCTGGGTGAGGGTCCAAAGGAGGAGGAGCTGTCTTAGTTGAGACCAGTGTGGTTAATAGGGTGAGCCAGGTGCAGAGACCTGGAGATAGAAGAGGGGGAGGACTGGGGGGGCTACAGATAGTCCGGGGGGATGGGGTACCAGGAACAAACCGAGGGACACAGGAGAGGTGAGGCACCGAGGCCAGTGGCCTCAGCCCCTGCAGGGTGGGGGAAGGCCAGGATGCTCGGGAAGGGAGTCCTGACGACCCCAGCTGTCCCGGCAGCTCTCCCCACCTGGTGCAGGTTCGGGAGCGGATCCGCATCAACGGGCAGCCCATCAGTCCCGAGCTCTTCACCAAGTACTTCTGGCGCCTCTACCACCGGCTGGAGGAGACCAAGGTGCCCCACGCAAGAGGGCTGGCGGGTGGGTGGGGTTGGGGGTGCTACATGTTCCAGCACCCCATGTCCCCAGAGGGGGGGCTGCAGGGGCTCTGGGCCCTGACATGTCCCTGTGCCACAGGATGGCAGCTGTGTCTCCATGCCCCCCTACTTCCGCTTCCTGACACTCATGGCCTTCCACGTCTTCCTCCAAGAGAAGGTGTGTGCCCTCTCCCTAGAACCCTGCATCTGAGGCCTTGGGAACAGGAACCTCAGCAGGCCTGGGGGCTCCCTGCTTCCATGTGGCCTCTGGGCACCCTCATACCCCCTGCCATGCCCTCTGGTCTTTGGCAGGTGGACCTGGCAGTGGTGGAGGTGGGCATTGGCGGGGCTTATGACTGCACCAACATCATCAGGTGAGCACAGTTGCCTGGGGTGAGGAGTGGCAGTCAGGAGCACAGCCTCACCTGCCGCCTGATGGCTCGGCAGGGCCTCATGGCCTTTTCCTCCTCTGCAGGAAGCCTGTGGTGTGCGGCGTCTCTTCTCTTGGCATCGACCACACCAGCCTCCTGGGGGACACGGTGGAGAAGATCGCATGGCAGAAAGGGGGCATCTTTAAGGTGACCAGGCAGATTGGGGGACGGGAGAGACATGGAAGGCCTGGGCGTCTGCATTCTCATCCTGGCTTCACTGTGTGACTGGAACAAGTTGAGTCTCCTCTCCAGACTGTTTCCCCATTGAAACATGAGGGATGGCTGGGCATGGTGGCTTATATACTTGCAATCCCAGCACTTTGGGAGGTCGAGGCAGGAGGATCACCTGAGGTCAGGAGTTTGAGACCAGCCTGAACAATATGGTGAAACTCCGTCTCTACTAAAAATACAAAAATTAGCCAGGTGTGGTGGTGTACGCCTGTAGTTCCAGCTACTGGGGAGACTGAGGCAGGAGAATCGCTCGAACCCGGGAGGCAGACGTTGTAGTGAGCCGAGATTGTGCCATTGCACTTTAGCCTGGGTGACAGAGTGAGACTTGCTCTCAAAAAACAGAAATAAAGAAGAAACATGAGGGATGACAGCCAGTGGTAGCCCAGACCCAGGGATGTGGGGGCCAGAGATAGCAGTGTGGAGGACGCTAGGTAGCCCCTTCTCTCTCCTTGTTCCCTCCACAGCAAGGCGTCCCTGCCTTCACTGTGCTCCAACCTGAAGGTCCCCTGGCAGTGCTGAGGGACCGAGCCCAGCAGATCTCAGTAAGTCTGATTGGAATGGGGGCAGCGGCAGGGTGGGCGTGTGTCCCTCCTGTTTGAGGAGGCACTGCATCCTCTGGGGCCTCAGTCTGCTCATCTGTGCAGTGAGGAAGCTGCCGGGCCAGCTGGAACACATCTCAGATCTGGGAGCAGGGCTTGGTGGCTGGGGGGAGGGGAGAGATGGGAGGGCTGATGTGGTCAGGGAGGGCCTCTGCTGACACGCTCCTGCCTGTCTCCCCCAGTGTCCTCTCTACCTGTGTCCGACGCTGGAGGCCCTGGAGGAAGGGGGGCCGCCGCTGGCCCTGGGCCTGGACGGGGAGCACCAGCGGTCCAACGCCGCCTTGGCCTTGCAACTGGCCCACTGCTGGCTGCAGCGGCAGGACCGCCATGGTGAGCGGCGGGCAGCTGAGTGGGCAGGGAGGTGGGTGGCACCTGTGGAGCCTGCCTAGGAGGGTCCTGGGCACACTTGGTTTCACACACCCCGCAGGTGCCGGGGAGGTGAAGGCATCCAGGCCGGGGCTCCTGTGGCAGCTGCCCCTGGCACCCGTGTTCCAGCCCACATCCCACATGCGGCTTGGTGAGTGGGACCTTCCTGCCCAGCTGGGACCACTGCGTGTGTCTGTGCCCCTTCAGATGTTTTTTTCTTTTTTTTTTTTTTGGTTTTCTGTTTGGGAGATAGAGACAATTTGAAGTGGTGCTTAAGAGAAGGGATTCTGATGTCAGCAAACCTCCCTGACCTTGAGCTCATGAACTCTTTCTGAGCCTGTCTTCTCATCCGCCAAACTGGATGATGACAGGAGCCACTGCCAAGGGCTGTGGTGGGGATTCGCTGAGGTGACATCACTAAGGTGCTGAGTGCAGGACCTGGCCAATGTGGGATAAAGTGCCAGCCAGTGGAAGCTGCTATCACTGTCACTATCATTGTTATCAGACCCTGAGGTTCTGGAGGACGGTGATCCAGTCATCTGCTTCTTGCCTCCCCCAAAGCTTTCAGCACCCAGCGGGTGCTCATGCTTTTAAGCCCCTGCAGCAAATAGTGGGCCCACTGTGTGCCATGCCTGTTGTCAGGGGCAAGTGACAAGGTCCTGGAGACAGGCCAACCTCGCATCACATCCTGGCCCCAGCTAAGGGCTCTTGGGCTGTCAAACGGGAATCATACATGATAGCAGACCCTTTCAGAGTTGCCTGAAAGATTCCACCAGATGAGGCAGCCGAAAAGGCCAAGCCATTGACTGGTGCTAGTAAGAAGTTCCTGGGCTGCCGGGGTCCTCAGAGTGTTGAGAGCGGGCGCAGCCCGCAGGGGAGACTGGCCTCAGCAGTGTGTGTGCGGAGTTGAGGACGGGGGTGGGAGAGAACCTGGAGGACTGCCTTGCTGCCCTCCCCCAGGGCTTCGGAACACGGAGTGGCTGGGGCGGACACAGGTGTTGCGGCGCGGGCCCCTTACCTGGTACCTGGACGGCGCGCACACCCCCAGCAGCGTGCAGGCCTGCGTGCGCTGGTTCCGCCAGGCGCTGCAGGGCCGAGAAAGGCCGAGCGGGTGAGGGGCAGGGTTGGGGGTGGGGCCTGGGCGGGCTCACTGGAAGTGGCGGGATCTTGGGGAAGGGCGGGGCGGGCCCACGGGGAGGGGTGGGGTCGTGGGGAAGGGCGGGGACGGGATTGGGAGAATGGGTGGCGCCCTCTGACCCAGCTCCTCGCCCCTGCAGCAGTGGGCCCGAGGTTCGAGTCTTGCTCTTCAATGCTACCGGGGACCGGGACCCGGCGGCCTTGCTGAAACTGCTGCAGGTGAGGGGCCGACTTGCGGGTGGGCGGCAGGCAGTCCTGAAGCCCTGGGTCTGACGGTGTGACCCTGCGGGGGTCGCCACTCTAAGTTGTATTGAGGATTAGATGTGACGAGCTGCGTGTGCAGGTTCCGCCAGGTGCTGCAGGGCCGCAGGGTGTCCAATCATAGGTCATTACTCATTTCCCCGCGTGTCTAGACTCAAGTCCAGGCTTAAGAGGAGGGCCACGTCGTGGCTAAAGGTGTAGACTCTGGACTCACTTGTCATGCCCCTTTGGCACTAGCATATCACCCTGGACTGGGCGAGAGGTGGCATTTCCCTGAGCCTCACTTTGCCTCTCCATAAAACTGGGTTGCTGCTAAGGGTACCTGCTTCTCGAGTTTGGTTGAAGGAGTCACTGGGCCTTTCTTTGCTTGGGGAAACTGAGGCTGCCCAAGCTGTCAGGGCTGAAGTGGCCCCTAGGTATCATCTCCCATTTCACAGACCAGGAGGCTGAGGCTGTATCCAGAACCTCTCCCATTTACCCACAGTCTTTTTCCAGCCTGGATTTGGGGTCTCCTCACTATCTGAGTGACCTTCAGCAAGTCCCCTTGACCTGTGGCCTCGGTTCCCCCATCTTTACAGTAGGCTGGGGCTTCGCTGCTCAGGCCACAGGCCAGGCAAGGTATACTGAGGCAGATGGGGGCAGGGTGCTGAATACCTTGGCTGGGTTTATACAGCGTCATTCTAGTTGTCAGGGAGGCTGTATCTCCAGATGTGGGCTCAGGGGGTCATGTGGAAGTCGGCAGACATCCTTTCAGGGGTCTGACACCAGGTCTTTCCCTTGGCCTTCTAGCCGTGCCAGTTTGACTATGCCGTCTTCTGCCCCAACCTGACAGAGGTGTCATCCACAGGCAATGCAGGTGAGATGTAACAGGCATGGCCCCTGGGGATGGGCAGGGGTCCCTGAGGTAGGCAGTGGGGGCTTCCAGACTGGAGGTTTGGGGTAGAAAATAAATTTGTTTTACTGTATAAGCACACTTTAGTGTACTTATACTCTTTTATACACCAAAGTATACTTTATTTAATTTTATTTTTAAAAATTTTTGCCCAGGCGCGGTGGCTCATGCCTGTAATCCCAGCACTTTGGGAGGCCGAGGCGGGCGGATCACGAGGTCAGGAGATCGAGACCATCCTGGCTAACACAGCGAAACCTTGTCTTTACTAAAAAATACAAAAAATTAGCCAGGCGTGGTGGCGGGTGCCGGTAGTCCCAGCCACTTGGGAGGTTGAGGCAGGAGAATGGTGTGAACCCAGGAGGCGGAGCTGGCAGTGAACCAAGATCACGCCACTGCACTCTAGCCTGGGCGACAGAGCGAGACTCCCTCTCAAAAAAATTTTTTTTCTTTAATTTAATTTTTGAGACAGAGTCTCACTCTGTCACCCAGGCTGGAGTATAGTGACACAATCTCAGCTCACTGCAACCTCTGCTTCCTGGGTTCAAATGATTCTCATGTCTCAGCCTCTGGAATAGCTGGGATTACAGGCATGTGCCAACATGCCCAGCTAATTTTTATATTTTTAGTAGAGACAGGGTTTTGCCATGTTGGCCAGGCTGGTGTCAAACTCCTGGCCTCAGATGATCCGCCCACCTCAGTCTCCCAAAGTGCTAGGATTACAGGCGTGAGCCACTGCACCCGGCCAGCATTTTTAATTTTATATGAAATAGAGTAGAATAGAAAATACCAGTGTGCATTGCACAAGTAAGGGTAGGTCCTGTTTGGCGAAGGTCATTCTGTTCCAGGCATACGTACGTATAAGTATGTGAGTACTGGGTTGCAATATAAAATGTGTTTTTTACTATGTGTCGTGTTAAAAATTTTTGAAATAGTGTAAAAAATACAGGTCCCAGGCTGGACTTGGTGGCTCACACCTGTAACCCCAGCATTTTGGCAGGAGGATTGTTTGAGCCCAGGAGTTAAAAGCCAGACCTCATCTCTATAAAAAAAAAAAAATAGAAGAATTAGCCAGGTGTGGTTGTGTACACCTGTGGTCCTAGCTACTCAGGAGGCTGAAGTGGAAGGATCGCTTGAGCCTGGATGGTGGAGGCTGCAGTGAGTCATGAAGTCATGATTGCATCACTGCATTCCAGTCTGGGTGACAGAGCAAGACCCTGGACCCTGTCTTAAAAAAAAAACAAAAAAACAAACATCTCCAGTCCCCACATCAGTCTGGCTGGAGAGAGTTCTGAAATCTACATTTTTTTTCTTTTTCTTGAGACAGTCTCGCTCTGTTGCCCAGGCTGGAGTGCAGTGGTGCCATCTTGGCTCACTGCAACTTCTGCCTCCCAGATTCAAATGATTCTCCCACCTCAGCCTCGTGAGTAGCTGGGACTACAGGCACGTGCCACTATACCCGGCTAATTTTTGTTTTTTGTTTATTTTTAAGATGGAGTCTTGGCCGGGCGCAGTGGCTCAAGCCTGTAATCCCAGCACTTTGGGAGGCTGAGACGGGCGGATCACGAGGTTAGGAGATCGAGACCATCCTGGCTAACCCGGTGAAACCCCGTAAACCCGGTGAAACCCCGTCTCTACTAAAAAATACAAAAAACTAGCCAGGCGAGGTGGCGGGCGCCTGTAGTCCCAGCTACTCGGGAGGCTGACGCAGGAGAATGGCGTAAACTCGGGAGCCGGAGCTTGCAGTGAGCTGAGATCCGTTTACTTCCATTCTTCCTGCTCATGTCCTCCACGATAGCTGGGACTACAGGCGCCGCACCGTCGCACCGGTAGTTTTTGTTTTTGT